CTTTCTACTAAGACCCGGGAAGATTAACTGCATTCGGCGACGGCTACTGCCTGATTCCATCAAAAAGCCTCATTTAGCAACTAAGTGCCGTGCGACAACCTCTAATTTGCAGTGTTGGCATTAGGGTATAACTCGCTGAGGAATCTGACCAAGTACTTTGACTTACAAATTCCCAAATAATCCTGCGAGATAGTGGCAAGATTATTAGGCATGCTTGGTAAGAATTAAAAAGTATTCGCCAGATTTTGACACCCAGGAAGGAATTTTTATCCCATTTTCACTTTTCTGAATAAAACCACACGTGCAATGTTGTGATAGTGGCCTTTAAGCATTAATGCGGTTTGTAACAATGCTTGAGAATGGTCGACATGGCGGAACTTCAAAACTGTGTGTAGTCAGATGCATGTCGCGGACGTATATCTGTCTGCATCATTGTCAAGTCCGACTACGCCTTTTTAATGTGGACCAAGCCTCAAGGGTCATGCAATAAGATGGCGTTTGAAGTGCAGCTACATACAACTTTTAACTTGCGGCTTCATGAAGCACGACACTTGGGGTGTACTGAGTTGTCTCGTGGTTGGTTTCTCTCCAATCTATGTAGACTTCCTTAAGAAGCTCTCAAGCAGACCTCAGGTTCACGGTGTCCACAGGTAGGCGATCTATCGGGACTTTGTTTATACACCATTCAAGGTGTGTTGATTGTTATCTGGCAGAGCAGATCTAATTCAGTAAAGTCCCATGGACTGGCGGTAAATACAGTAGATGTCCTAACTCATGAAATGTCAACCAAAATTTCGAAATTCGTTCTCGTTTCGAAAAGACAAATTAAGTAGTGTTGTGAAACTAATCATGATGCTGCATAAATCTATAATGATTCAGTTACCTCAGGCTGTCGGCTTTCGAAAGAGCTTGTTATCGGCTGCATGCAAGATCCATACTCTGCAAAAAATGACTACTTACATAGTATGCAATTTTCTCATTGATTTTCGATGCCCTTGAAAATTCAATTATATGTCATGGAAAACATGCATAAAAATGTTTATTCTTTTACTTATTCGGTAGAGACTCACGTCTTCTTCCAACTTCATACTCAGAAGAAGAGTATAATTCGTTTTTAAAAAACTCTTCTAATTCCCAAATAATTTTGAACCCGACCTGCATTCAGAGTTTCAAAACTACAAGCTGTATATTTTCCATGTACGGAAAACCATGCATTTCTCTACGATGTTAAGAGGAGACGATATGGGGTTCATAAAATTAAGCAGTGGATTTGGGCAATATTGTTTACTTTACAAGCCACATTCGTAAATGCAGATACATGAAGTTCCATGTACGGTCATTTAACGGTATTAAAAAAGCTCACAATTATAAATTTTTTAAAACCGAATTATACTCTTCTTTTGAGTGTGAAATTGGAAGAAGACGCGATTTTCTATCGCATAAGTAAAAGAATGAATATTTTTATGCATGTTTTCCATGAAATATAATTGAATTTTCAAGGGCACCGAAAATCAATGAGAAAATTGCATACTACTTAAGTAGTCATTTTTTGCAGAGTATGGATCTTGCATGCAGCCGAAAATAAGTTCTTTCGAAAGCCGACAGCCTGTGGTAACTATATCAGTATAGATTTATGCTGCATCATGATTAGTTTTACAACACTACTTAATTTATCTTTTCGAAACGAGAACGCATTTTGAAATTTTGGTTGACATTTCATGCGTTAGCACATCTACTGCACTAAGGTGGATAATTGGACCCGCATCTATAAGGTCTTGGAGGAGGATAGTGACTACTTGAAGCTCGGGTCCCTTATTACGACCTATAAGTGAACTTTGACGTTGTTTTAAATTGGTCTGATTGCTGAATAGGGGGGTCGTCAGTGGAAAACGACCGTGTGTCCGAATGATGACGTACCTCGGACGAGGAGGTATCCTCTGCATAGACATCGCAAGTCTCAGAAGAGGATTCAGACGCGGGGGCGTCTGGCAACCCCGCGGTCTTGTTGGAGACCGCCGTCGAGACGCCCTCTGCGTCCCCGGGTTGGCGTGTGGACTTCTGTGGGCCAATGTGTTCTATGATGCACTGGCCGTCAGCGGAAACCGAGAAGAACCGGAAGGCCTGTGGGTGGCGATTCACCACGTCCATGAGGGCGGGTGGGGCGGTCGCACCACTTTGGTCCTTGTCAATCTCCGGTGGATCCGCCTCCACGGAATCACGCTTATCTGTAAACGCAGAATAAATAATGGGTACGAGTGAGGAAACTTGGAATGCTGCCTCAGTGGGAAATCTGCAACAGACAGAATCATCCTCGATGGGACCTAATGTTTCAAGCAGAGATCCGGATGAAGTGTATTAACGCGAAATTCGCCGCCATTCTGCGAAATAAAAAGTGGTCGAATTAGGTAGACCGCTCGACGTAAGGTTTCGAATTTGATAGCCCCAAAAAGCACAGTTTAACCACTTAAAATATGTTTCGATAGAACAGATCCATAGAATTTGTTCAGAATTCAAATAGGGTCCATGAAACATCCAAATATCCACTTTTCCGGTCAATTTTTACAGTTATTTCGCATATTGACTCAACTGTGAAAAACTCGGCGCCTCGATGGGATTTGAGCCGTTTTGAAATCTATACTCAGAATTCAGGCTGTTGCCAAACTGCTATACCTGAAATCGCACTAGTTTTTGAGAGATATTTAGATTTAAACTTCACTATAAGGCTGTTTTCAGATTCATATTGATCGAACTGTGAAAAAAACGGTGCCTCGGTTGCATTCGAACCCACGCAGTAAGTGGAAGGCTTCAATGCAGCCAACGCTCTAACCACTTGGGCTGCGAGGCCCCTCCCCCGACGACGCGAGTTTAATCACATTTGGGTCAAGTTACCGGGCCCAACCTACTGCAACGTCTGAAATCCACCAAATCTGATACAGTAATTTGACTGTCCAAGCAGGATTTCCTAAGTAATTCACCTAGAATCCACTAGATGACTACCAGGCTCACTATTATTGGTCGACTCGGCTTTCCTTTGAACCAGACCTCCAGAATTGTGTGCAGACTTTTTTAGTTACAATGGCCAAAATTGTACAGGATTTTGGGAAGAACAAACAAATTAAAAGTCGACAACGTTAGGATTGATTATGTGGCCTCCTAAACAGAACATGAGGATAGGTAGCGCAGGTGGCTTTGAGCCAACTTCCAGCGAAATTAAGGTTAGGTCTAGGGTGATGGTTGGGGGTAGGTTAGAGATTAGATTTAAGGCTAGATTTAAAGTTAATGGTAAGGTAAGCCAGAATAAGGTTTGGGGTTAATGTAGGGCCCAGTGTTAACTGTTGACTTAAAGTTCAGGGTGGGGTCAACGGTTTAGTTTTACATTAGGGTTATTGTTGGGGTTAGGACACGGTAATATCTTGCAATTTCAGGAATTTTTCAAGTCCACCTTAATTACTAGGGCGGGTCTTTCCTATTCCAATGTCCTGCCTAGGGTACCATATAGGTCAGTCAAACCTGTGAAAACCAGTAAAAAACTAAACACACGGATTGATATTCAATAGAATCGCCCTGCTGTGGTTGGGTGTGAATAGAGATGTGTCATGAAAAAAATTATGCCGTACCACCGATCGCGACTGTATCTTGGTTAAACACTTTGCTGGGCCAATCGATATTAGCGACCGTTCAATACAGGTCAACTAATGGACTATAATAGTGGGAGAGGGAAGGCCGAAGGTATTTATTGACATCATTAAAAATAGTGTTCCCCGAATTTCTGTTTTTCAGGATAAATAGTCTTCATATCCATTGTCGCCACCATGTACAAATGCAAAACAGGCCGGTGCGACGTGAAGGATCTTTCTTTCGCATTAACCACACTGGATCCCGCCATTTTTCAAACTGCTAAATTTCCCCGATGTGATCTTAATTTGTCGGATGGAATGGTGATGGAAAGAAGCGTTAAACGGTCCTATGTCTGCCATATTCAAATGTCGTTTTCTTGCAAATCAACTTATGCCCATAGAAACATGGCGCAATGCTGAAAGGTAAGTCTTGCTTTTGGAAGGAGAATAGCGATCCCTCGGACAACCTAAATTGTTTCTTAATGGGCTGAAAGACAGATGTTCCGAGTCGCCCGAAGGGAGCGCGGTCAGTTTACGTCTCGTCACGGAAATAACCTTCTTCCTCCCAATAAAGAGTAACACCTTCACCTACACTGTCTACAAGGAATCCAGACTCACTTTTTATGGCACTCAAAAATTGAGAAAACGTCTCAGCAAGACAGTTCTCCTACTCTACCCTTGACTCGTCAATTTAGACTGTCTCAAAATAACTCGACTCCCTCCAGACCTTTCGATACAATCTGGGGTGTGTGTGTGTGTGTCCCCAAACGGGCCACGTGCTAGATGCGATGAACCAACACGGAGGCCACATAGGATTCTGGCAGACGTTATCTTGCGCAATA